GTGTAATGCTTCTAGAAACATTTTTTGTACCAAGAATTCTGTTTGACATTTTCAGGTGTCTCCCTGTGTTCGTGCCATCTTATATCTTCATGTTCTTGTCCTCCCTTCCTCAATCCTGACCATCCTGTTCAAGTTACTGCCTCCAGCTGCCAATGTCTACGGCACAGCAGAGCCAGGCGCCGAGGTCTGTGATCACCACCTTCCTCTCACAACCCTGCGAAGGTTAATGCCCCCAAATTAAAGGCCAGACTCTCAGCATGATAATCAAATCCACAGTTCTACCATGTTAGCCTGATTTTCCGCTATCCTGCCCCTGTTGGCCCAGCTTAAATGTTACATTCTCCAGGAGGTGTTTCTGACATCTCTGTCCTCTGTTCGCAAAGGACTTGTGAGCCTCTTGTTAACAATTCATATTTGATATTTATCTTATCTCCTTTACTAGACCATAGTTTCTTTTTTTTTTTTTCCCCTACCTGATTTGTTCCTCGCATCACATAGACCACAGTTTCTTGAGAGCAGGGACCATAGCTTATTCACCTCTATGTTCCCAATTATGCCTAGCATGTTTGGAACTCCAATGTTCATGAAAACTCCCTAAACTCTATGATTTTTTTTTTTTTTTGAGACAGTGTCTCACTCTGTTGTCAAGGCTAGAGTGCAGTGGCATCATCATAACTCGCTGCAGCCTTAAACTCCCGAGCTCAAGAGATCTTCCTGTCTCAGCCCCCCGAGTAGCTGGGACTACAGGTACGCACCACCATGCCAGGCTAATTTTTTTTATTTTTTGTAAAGACAGGGTCTCACTATATCACTCAGGCTAGTCTCAAAATCCTGACCTCAAACAATCCTCCTCCCTGGGCCTCCCAAAGTGCTGGGATTACAGGGGTGAGCCACCACGCCTGGCCTGATTCTTTATAGAAAATACCAAATGCACCATTTCGGGAGGCAGCCATTGTCACCTGTTTATAGCCTACTATAAAGGAGCGCAGACTTTTTTTTCCCCCACACAGATAATTCCTTTAAGTAATTTGTGCAAAACAGACTATTTTTAAATACCCTCAGAATTAGGTTTATAGAGGAAAACTGTGGTCAATCGGTAATTTAGAATCTCCGGTTTCAGGGTCTGAGAAGGGCCTGAGAAGTCACTGGGTCCTGCCCCAAATTCTAGAGACCAGAAAATCAAGTTCCAGAAGGTAAAGTGGTGAAACCTAAGGTCACACGACTATCTGGTGAGTATCCGAGGGGGTTCCCCTCCGCCTTCAGTGCAGTACTGTGTTTTCTCCCTAGGTGCTGTTAACCTGTTTTTAAGAATAAAATGTAATCTGTGCGCATCAGAGAGAGAAGTATATGAGGACCGGTGTGTCCATACGCCCTGCTCGGGGCTCGGCAAACTGTGGGTCGTCAAACAGGCAGCAAACACTGTATTGCCGAATGAACTGATGGACACCCCGCCTTGGGATCCATAACTAAAACAGGCAGAATATGAAATATTTCAAAGCACTAGTCAGACAACTGGCTTCTTAGAAGCCTGGAAGAGAAAGCAGGGGAGAAAAATGCCCGCAACAGAATGAAGGCTTGAGAAGGAATATAATAAACAAACCGAGCTCTATGAAAATAACTGCACTTATATTCACACGTAAACTTTGGTGATATGAAAGCTAATACAAAAGAGAAGTTAATAGGCATTTCTCTAAAGAAGATATATAGGTGGCTAACAAGCCTGTGGAAAGGTGTTCAACATTATTAGTCATTATGGAAATGCAAATCAAAACTACAATGAGATACCATTTCACATCCAGTAGGATGGCCATAATTTAAAAAAAGAAAAAGGAAGTATTAATAACAAGTGTTGGCAAGGATGTGGAGAAACTGGAACCCTCTCACATTGCTGATGGGAATGCAAAATGTTGCAGCCATTGCGAAAAACAGTCTAGCAAGTTAAACATAGAATTACTATTTGACCCAGGAATTCTACTCTCAGGTATAGACCCAAGAATTGAAAACAGGTATTCAAACGAAAACTTGTACACGATTGTTTGCAGCAGTACTATTCACAATAACCAAAAGGTGGAAACAACCAATATCCATCCACTGATGAGTGGATAAACAAAATGTGATATATCTATGTGATGGAATATTATCCAACCCTAAAAAGGAATGAAGACCAGATACATGCTACAATATGGATGAATCTTGAAAACATTACACTAAATGAAAGAACCCAGATGCAAAAGGCCACATACTGAAAGTTCCATTTGTATGAAACGTTCAGAATAGGAAAATCCACAGAGACAGAAAGAGATTAGTGGCTGCCAGGGGCTGGGGCAGCGAGGGGAAAGGGATTGTCTGCCTAATGGGTACGGGTTTCCTTTTGGGGTGATGAAAAAGTTCTGGAACTTGATAGTGTGGTGGTTGCATAACATTGCGAATGGAATGTACTTAATACCACTGCTCTGTGCATGCTAAAGTGGTAAGTTTTATGTTGTGTGTATTTCACTACAATAAAAAAATAAAGAGAGTCGCGTCTTCACAGTGCTAGGGGTCTTTGGATGTATCCAGGCTGAAGATACTCATTCGTAAAGAACTCTCCCATTCCTGGCCAGTAAGGCAGACTGTTCTGCCCTGCACATTCCTTTACTACCAATACTGACTGCACAGATTATAAACCCAGCACCGACTTTTCTTAAAATACTCTTAGGTTTCAAGGTGAATGCTGCGAGTCTAGCAGGGGGACAAAGCATTATTCAGAAGTACGGCTTCCCTGTGGGTCTTGACAGACAGAGGCTGTTATCAGTGATGCCTTCGCGCACGGCCGTGCGGAGGGCAGCGCCACCGTGAACAGAGGCCTTCCGGCGGCAGCCAACAGACCACTCAGCATCAATGGGGGAAGGCCGTGGTCTCTCAGGGGCAGAGTTGCCAGGGACATCCTCTGAGAGCACACAGGCAGCTATGCAGCTACTACACTGCCACCAGAAAGTGCAATAGAAACTGAAACGAAACGCTGCCCTTCACCATCGGAGAAAAGAGCTCGGGTTCTGGGATGCTCCTAGGATTCCCCTGGATTCCTCTGGGCCATTTGGCGGCTGTCCCACAACAATGCAGATAAGATGCACTTGAACTTTTTGTTCCAGAGGATCCCTGGTTCTCAGCTCTGCCCCACCCAACCCTTTCTCCTCTCTCCCTTGGGCTTCCAAGCTGTAGCTCTTGGAGTTATCTGAGATGATCTTCACAGTCAACACGGGGTGCCAACTCTAGCCTCCTTAGGTGTCTGAGAACTTTGGAACCAGGGCCAGGTATCTCTTCAGCTCCTGATGAAGGCTTACTTGATCTGATTTTAATCAGTTTGGACCATATGGCTGTTATGTTACGAAATGATTGTATGCCCAGTGGCCAGCGAGGGCTCAGCACACCGTAGGTGGTCGCTCTGCAAATATTGCTGAGTGAATTAATGAGCACTCCAGACCTGCAATAAAACAGGCAACTCCCCACCCTTGACAGAGGAGTCAAACATACTCGAATTTTTTTAAAAGCATCCCTCCTGTTTCCAGCTTCCTCTCAATTATCACTCTTATTTTGGATTTCTTATTTCTAGTGATAGAGAAAATGTGTTACTTCTAAATCATCAGCGTCCAAAATTTTCAAAGAGAAGCTCATTTGAAGGTGTTGTTACCAAGAAATATACCCAGTCACTTAAAAATGGCTATTACTAGTCTGGGCAAGAAAACATACAAGATTCCATACATACGCTGTCGACTTTGGCAAGAAAGATTTTAGACAGCTTCCATCCTTCCCACCCAATCCCAAGTAAATAGGGCATTTGTTTGTATTTCCACATTGGCTTCATGAACGAAAATACCTCCTCCACCTAGAAAAACAATCAGTAACATTCAGACATGGAACTTTGAGGGCAAACTTTTTAGTGCCTGCTGGAGCAGTATGTTGTGCTTTTTAAAAAATGAAGTAGAAAAGTATTTTTAATAAAGTTTTCTCCTGTGAGCATTTCCCTCAAGTTCACCCTTATACCTGGTTTGGTGTTTCTATACCTTTCAGTAGTACAGATTTAAAAAAAAAAAAAAGTTCTCCATTAAAATTGAGGCCAGAAGAAACCTTCTTCCTACCGGCTCCAGCGACAGATCTGAACATTTTACTCTGTTCAGGGGGGAAAAACAGACACACAAAGTCATGTTCCTGTCCTCTAAATTTTCTGCCCTGCACCAACCAGGTTCTGCCAAAGAGTTAAAAAGTTTTCTGAGGTTAGTTTCTGCGGTTAAGAGGGGGGAAAAAAGCTAGATGCCTAAATTTAGACTCTGTAAAACAATACTGGGAAACTTTCAAAGCCTTGGAGAAATACTGGAGCTTATTTTATTGGCTTTTGTTAAATTTCATCACATTAGCCACACTTTCTTCTCTTTTTTTAAATCCCTCCCGCCCCGGATCACTGGGCAGATCCTACACGTTCCCGCGTGATTCATTTACCTGCTGCGGGCGCGAGGAGGGGGGGACGAAAACCTACGGATCACTTTGCACAGGACCTCAGGTCAGGTCAGCAGGTGGCTCCGGCCACCCCCCACGGCCCCCCGCCAATGTCGGACCCACAGGGGTCCCCGGTGGGAAGTGCGGCGCCGGGTCCCTCGCAGGGCTCCGGGCACGGGGCGTTGGGGACAGCGGGGACGCTCCGTGCCCACAGCTAGAAAACCCGCCACAACCACGGTGCCCACCCCCCGGAAGACCCCGGCGGAGTCGGAAACAGCGCGTCCCTCCCCAGACCCCGGAGCCCGGGGTCCAAGGCGCGCAGCGAGCACCGGGTGGCCCGCACTCGGCGATCGCGGCGCCCCCAGGTGCGGCGCCGGGAAGGGGCGCACGGGGAGCGCGCAGCCGGGCCGGGGAGGGGGCGCACACGGCCCGCCGCGCGCCCCCCTCTCCTCCAGCCCTGGCGCCGCCGCCGCCAGGACGCCCTCCCGGCGCGCCAGCCCTGCCGGGGTCCGAGGGTCCGCACTCACCCAGCGCCAGCCCCCGCGCGGGGACCGCAGGTGCCCGCGCCGATCGCCGCCCGCAGCCCTTGAGACACGGCCCGCCAGCCCGGCCGCCCGCGCGCGCCTCGCCCCGTGTGCGCGCTCCCGGCCCGTGCGCGCTCCCCCGGCCGCCGGGGCCCTGGCTCCCCGGACACGCACTGCGCGCGCCCGCGGCACTTAAAGGGACAGGCCCTGCGCCCTACCGGCCGCCTGGAGGGAATCGGGGGTGAGGATGGGGGTGCTCGGTCCAGGTGTGAGGTGTGAACTGGAGGACGATCCGCGTGACAGCCCCCACCACCGAGCTACCCAGTTGGAGAAAAGCAATAGGGATGTGCGTTTGCGGCTTGTATGAGACTCGACTTTCATTTTATTATTATTATTATCATTATTAACTATCGTTACTCTGAGAGGTTATTTTATATTTGATGATAATAACACTAACTGCCATTTATCGAATTCTTATACCCTTGGATACGGCGTTTAACAGACGTGCATTATTTCATTTAATCCTCAAAACAATCCTCTGGTTTCTTATCCCCATTTTACAGAGGAGGAAAACTGAAGTTCAGAGAGCTGAAGAAACTCATCCAGGAGTTTTGACCCCATTGCCTGTTGCTATTTTCTTCTTTATCACTGTGGAAATATCTGCCAAGGTTAACAGCTAGTTGTGGAAGGCTTTTGTAAGTTGGTGGAAGTTAATGTTACCAGTGTTTCCATAAGGTGGAACAACTTGGTAGGGAGGGAGGAGGCAAGAGTAACGGGGTTTTATCAATTGTAGAGTTGTTCTGTGCTTAAATGGCAAACGTTGTAACAGCCTATATTCCAAAAATGTCTGTGTTTATCCTAATTTTACAGAAAACGAAGGAAGGAAGTGGTTGGTGGCACAGAATGACTGAGTCACTGGCAGCATTCAGGGCTGAGCCCCAATTCCTTAGTCCTTAGATCATTTCTGTGCCCTCCCCAGGAAGAGATACCTGATTAAAGGGAAGAAAACTTTTCCTCTAATAACACACTGGCCTCACCTAACTCCCCGCATCTTTAATTAATGTGTACAAAGCACTTTAATCTACCAACATGCTAGTTAATTAGACAAGGATTATTATCCCCCTCTTTCTGAACCAAATGCAACAGAGAATCCATTCTGACCGTCTTAATTTTGGGTGAATAATAGCCCTATAAGCTTTCTGGTTATGTTCTTTTTTTTTAAAAAAAGAAACTTCTTAAATTTTTGTCTCATATTGTGTTAAATGTGAATGCATTTACCATGAAGTGACTTCATAGAAGTTAAACACCTCTGGGTGAAAAGTAATTTAGGCAACTCCTGTCTTTAAGGAATTCAGATCAAGAAAAAAATCCACTTTGATAAGTGCTTCCCAGAATTTGTTGTTCTTTTGGCTTGGTTAAGCTTTTATTGTGTATCTTCTCTTATAGGTGAAGAAGAAATAAGAAGGAAGCAATTGAAGGATGATGGGATTAAGAAAGAAGAGGAAAGAAAAAGGCCAAAAAAAAAAAAATTGGAAGGAATTGAACAGGGAAGAAAATGAGACTGAGAAAGTTTGTGCCAAGAGGCCGTCGGGAAATAACGCCAGCCCCCGCGAGCACGTAGCAAATCTTTGTGGGAATTGTGATCAGCTGGCTGTCCTGCGGGCTGGTGCAAACCTGGCCAGGGATCGGCTTAGCTACCGGAGCACAGGCTGGCTTCCTGTCCCCAATGTACCCCTTGCCTGGGCACCGTTGTGCCCACCGAACACACATAAAGGGACTAAAAGGTAAGGAAGGACACCAAGTGAGGTTTAAAAAGAAATGGTTTAGAAGGGAATCTAAAGACAGTTCTCATGAAAGTTCTTAGATCATGTCCAGAGACAAAAAAAAAAAGAAAAAAAAGAACAAAGAAATATCTGGAGGGCTTTGTACATGGTATTGTTATTGTTTTTCTATTTTTATTTTTTAGAGACAGGGTCTCCCTCTGTCACCCAGGCTAGAGTGCAGCGGCCTGGATCACAGCTCACTGTAACCTCAGACTCCTGGGTTCAAGCAATCCGCCAGCCTCTCAAAGTGCTGGGATTACAGGTGTGAGCCACCACACTTGGTTATTGCTGCTTTAAAAACCCATGGAATTTACAAAATTTCACTGCAAATTCACTTGATGTTTTGATAAATGTCTTCTGAGACTGGTCCTTACTAAGAAAATCCTGATACTACATGACCCCAAAATATTACACAAATGTCTTTGTGAGCTTTGTATAAGTTTATAAAGTAAGCTAAAAAGTTAAGCTAAACATATATTTTTATTTTATAAGGGAGCAGATTAATTACTGTATTAAAAGACTTCAGAAACTGTAATATCTGTGATGGCCACTAGAGGGAGGCAGACAGGAAAGGAGAAAGAATGGTCAGCTATTAATAAAAAATGTTTCGAGTTTTCTTTACTGAAAAATCATAGCAGTTTAGGTCTGAAAAGGGAGATGTAAAAGGCATGATTTTGATTTATGCCTCTTCCACTTAGGGGATGTGTTATCTTAAGCCAGTTGTCCCTTTTGAGTTTCAATTTCTCAGCTGTATAATGTGGCTGTTAAAAAAAATTATTTTAAAGTTTATCTGAAAAAGTAATGGATGAGAAGAGTTGAGAAAATTATGAAAATAAATAAAAATATGGGAAATTGCCCTATTATTGGAAAATAGTAGAAGGCTGTAATTATGAAGCATATCATAGTAGAACAATGTAACCCAGGAAAAGACACTGTGGACTGTATTTATTTTTATTTTTATTTTTTTATGCTTCTTACCGTAGAAGATGGAATCAAGACCGTGGACTTTAATATGTGATAAAGGAGTCATTGCAAGTGAGTGATAAAAGGATGGAGTGTCAGTAAACACACCTGAGGAAACCAGAAATTTGAAAAGATAATCAGCTCAAGCCCTTACCTTTCATCACATGCTGAAAGAAACTGCAGGTACGTTAAGGAATTTTAAAACTACAAGAAAATTGAGGCAAATATTTATGTGCAAATATTTATCTCAAGATGAGGAAAGAAAAGAAATGGAAAAATTAGGCAGGAAATGCCCGTTAGACCAGATTACATTAAATTTTAAAAATTCTCACAACGAAAAATATTATAAAAAAATACGAAAAGGTACACACACCAAAAATGCCAAGCTGTTAATACAAAACTATGCATAACAAAGCTGATGGTTAATATCCTTTTTATCACTTTATATCCAACATGCAATAAATATTTGGTAGATGGACTGAAGAAAGAGAAGGAGATTGATGCATTGCAAGGGGAACTTATTTGTGAAGTTTCTTGACTTAAAGAAAAGAGAAATAGTTATTGTATTTCTACAGGAGAGGAAATAAATTATGACCTGGAGGTTTTGGGTGACAAGTTTAGAGAAAGGCTATAAAAAGATAATGAAATCATTTCACACATCCAGCAAATGAATGATGTGCTATGTTGTCCGTATTCCCAGGTGATATTTTGAAGGAGAAACATATTTTTTGTTTCGTTTCATTGTGGAAGAAAACAGTAAGTGGTATCTAAGTTTAGTGATAGGAGTTTTGAAAGAGAAGCAAAACTCCAGAAGGTCTCTGGTGAAAAACAAGTGTTGCTTGTACAAAATTTAGGAACTGTTAAGTGACTGAAGTTCAAATAGGAACAGAGGGTGATGAAGGCCCATTCATCACTCTTCATTCAAAAATGATCTGTTGTCTGTTATGAGCCAGATATTACCGGGGGTAAGGTCTGGGGCAGGAGTGGGGAAACTTTTCATGTTGGAAGGCCACATGAATTTAGCTCTAATCAAATAAGGCCAAATTCGAGAAACTTTAATTAGATATACTAAAAAATGTACATTATTTTGTAAAAATCTAACTGCTATATACTCAATAATTTCAAAAGATGAAAACTGTGTTAATTTTAAAGTTAAACTTTTAATGACTTTGATGTGTCTGCTTTTTGTTGGAAAGCATTTGAATATTTGATTGCAGCATGGAGGTCCGTAGTTTAAGTTGATCCTCTAGATGGGTATCAGTCATTGTGACCTTAAGGGCGTCTTGATTTGGGTCAGGTTGGAGAATGTAGATTCACAGCAATGAGTGGCTGAAAAGCAAGAAAGCATTTTTTGGGCATGTTGCCGAAGGTGTGGATATTCTATTGTATTTTTCTCTATTTCCATTGGATCTTTCTTAGCATCAATGACTTTTACAATGTTATCTGCTGAGAGCTCAATCAATTCCATCTGTAGTAGGTGCGTTGGTGATATCAACTAGGTGAGGCCGAAATGCTAATTTGAGTGTGATGTTGTGATTCTCAAAGTCGGTGAACCTTTCATTGTATTCTCTAATTAATAGGTCTATAACAGCTGTGTATTCTTCAGATGATTTGCATATATCATCCTGCTCATCAGTGACCTTTGCTAACTAGGGAAAATGTTCATCCAAAATTTCCCTTTGAAGAAGTGTTTTGGAAAAAGATAGCTTTTTCGAAATGCTTGGCGTTCTTGCCTCATGTCATATATAGACTTAGTTTTACCTTGCAAAGAAATATTCAAGTCATTTTGATTTGACATGATATCACACAGAAATGCTGCATTCTTATAGAAATGTTCTTTCCATAATTCACATTGCTGATTCTGTTCTTCATAAAATTTAACTGTCTGTTCTCACAGAGATAAAATTTTGGCTAACACCTGTCCCTGCGATAGCCAACACACTTTAGAATGATATGGCGAATCCACACTGAATACCTACCTCACCATTCAAAGTTAGCACGTTATAAAACTGACGAAACTGAAGATGCCATGTTGCATTTGCAGGAATATAGTTAACAATACTTGTAACTTGCTGCAAAGTGTCACTTAAATAGTAGCTTTAGCACAGAGATTTTGCTGATGTAAGATACAATGAAAAGAAATAAGAACAGCTGGATCTGTTAATACATTTTTAATCTGTACAGTAAACCCTTCATGTTTTCCTGTCATGGAAGGTGCATCATCTGTACAAACACTCACTAAATTTACCAAATTTAGTCCAACTTCACGACATTTA